TCTCTCTTTCTTTTCTTTTCTTTGGGGGGGGCCTTTTTTCTCTTGCTGTTCTCTTATTTTGAGTTTTCACCACAAATGCCCGCATGTATGCAAAGTACAAAATAAATATTTGCGCATTTTTTTTTTTTTTTTTTTTTTTGGGGGGGGAGGGGGAGGCCGTGTGGAAGTTGGAGATGATGTGTCTATTTGTCTCCTGCTCTTTAAGCCTGTTGGATTTGTTGTTGTTTTTTGTTGTTGTTGTTGTTTTGTGTGTGTGGGCCTGAATGAGTCCTTTTTTTTTTTTTTTTATGATTCTTTTTGTGTGTGTGTGCAGGAGTTTATTGCCAATTAATTATTATTTTTTTTTTTTTTTTTTTTTTTTTTTTTTTTTGGTCCTCCACGCACAATTGAAGCAGTCGCGGCGCGGCACCACACATATACGCGATAGGGACGAATTTATAAATCAGCGGAGATAAAAGAGAAGAAGGAAAAGGAAAAAGGAGCAAAAAGAAAAAATGTCGACAGCACGTCGTGATAAATTGTTGAGCCTTGAGGCTGCCGCGCAGGAGCGGTGGGCGCAAGAGAAGTTACATGAGCAGAACGCCCCGCTGAAGGGCGAGCCAGTTCCCAGCAAGTTTTTTGTCACCTTCCCGTACCCGTACATGAACGGGCGTCTGCATCTCGGCCATGCGTTTTCTCTCACAAAGAGTGAATTCGCATCCCGCTTTTGGCGAATGAAGGGGTTTCGCTCGCTCTGGCCATTTGGACTGCATGTCACCGGAACCCCCATTGCCGCCTGTGCGCAGAAAATTCAGAAGGAAATGCAGCTGTACGGAAACCCGCCACAATTCCCAGAGGAGATGTTGGGGACTCCGTCAGAGGAGAAGAAAGACGACATTGCCACCATTGGACAGCACAAAAGTAAGCGTGGCAAAGCTGCTCCCGCCAAGCCACAGTGGATTATTATGCGAAGTATGGGTATCCCTGATAATGAGATTGCAAAATTTTCGGATCCACTTTATTGGCTTGATTACTTTCCTCCCCTTGCCGTGGAGGACCTAAAACGGTTTGGCTGCCACATTGACTTTCGTCGTTCTTTTATAACCACGGATCGCAACCCATACTATGACCGCTTTGTTTCATGGCAGTTCCGGCACTTGAGGCGGGCGAATGTACTTGGGTTTGGTAAACGATACTGCGTTTACTCCCCATGGGACGGCCAGCCCTGTGCGGATCATGACCGGGCAGTTGGCGAAGGGGCCTTGCCACAGGAGTATACACTGGTAAAGTTGAAGGTGCAGAACGCAACAGAGCATCCTGCGTTTTTGGCATTTAAACATATTATAGGTGACCGCCCTGTTATCCTTCCTGGAGCAACGTTGCGTGTAGAGACTGTGTGCGGCCAGACGAATTGTTGGATCTCCCCTAATTTTAGTTACAAGGCGTACACAATTTTGAACAAGACCGGTGAGGAGGAAATTTTCATCATGACATCACGTGCTGCACGGAATATGGCATACCAGGACTACGTGATCAACGGCAAGACGGGAGTGGATCCTTCTCCATTGTTTGAAGTGGAGGGGGCGAAGCTTGTTGGGCTGCCTCTCTCTGCCCCCCTCTGCCCCTACGCCACTATCTACACCTTACCAATGCAGACCATCACAGAGGCAAAGGGCACCGGTGTGGTGATGTCCGTCCCGTCCGATAGCCCGGATGATTATATCAATTTTACGCAGCTTGTAAGGAAGCCCGATTACCGTTCCAAGCTGGGCATTAAAGATGAGTGGGTGGATTTTGACATGGTTCCCATCATTGAGGTGCCCGGTGAAATGGGCCGTGAGAGCGCAAAGTTCATATGTGAAAAACTGAAGATTAATGGACCACAGGCCACAGATCTTCTAGAGGAAGCCAAGAAAGTTGTCTATCAAGCGGGTTTTTACCAGGGCGTTATGATTGCTGGCCCATTCACGGGCGAAAAAACCTCTGTTGCAAAGGTAAAGACGTTACAACTGCTGACCAAGGAAGACTCTGCAATTCGCTACTATGAACCTTCGCGTCTTGTCATGAGTCGATCTGGTGATGAGTGTGTCGTGGCATTGTGTGATCAATGGTACATTGAATATGGGAAAAAAGAGTGGAAAGAGGCAGTGTTGAAGCACCTTGAGAATATGAATATGTTCTTTCCTGGAGTGCGCAATGGATTTGAGGAAACACTTAATTGGCTTGCGGACTGGCCATGTAGCCGTACTCTTGGACTGGGTACCAAGTTACCGTGTGATGAGAGTGGGACCATGTTGATTGATAGTTTGAGCGATTCAACCATCTACATGGCATACTACACCATTGCTCACTTCATTCACACCTCACCTGAGGGGAAGCTACGCCTTGATGGACGTCACGACAATGTGTTGGGTGTCACACCAGAGATGTTTACAGATGAAACGTTTGACTATGTGTTTCTTGGTAAAGGTACCCCAGAGAGTGTTCATGCGGTCAATGGACTTCCGATGGATGCGGCAGAAAAGATGCGTCGGGAGTTCACATTTTGGTATCCCGTTGATCTCCGCTGCTCCGCGAAGGATCTTATTCAAAATCACTTGACCATGTTCCTCTACACACATGCAGCTATTTGGCCAGACGACACAAGCAAGTGGCCACGAGCCATCTTTGCCAACGGCCACATCCAGGTGGATAACGAGAAGATGTCCAAGTCCAAGGGCAACTTTATGTCCCTCGCAGAAACGATCGATCTGTACGGCAGTGATGCCACACGTCTGGCCTGTGCAGATGCAGGGGACAGTCTCGATGATGCAAATTTTGTCCGTGAAACTGCCGCTGGGTTTATTTTAAAGTTGACCACGGCAATAGATGGAGCGCAAGAACTGCTGGGCAAGAAACATACCCTACGCAGCGGGGAGTACAACATATTTGACAAAATATTCAGCAACTCCATGAACTTCATTATTTTGCAAACTGAAAGGTTCTATGTGGGCATGCAGTTTCGTGGCGTGCTCAACCTTGGATTTTTTGAACTTTCGAATGAATTCAGTCAATATAAGTTGAATTGCGATGAACTTCAGATCCATGCAGATCTTGCTAAGCGATATGTGGAGGTCATGACGCTTCTTTTGGCACCGTTGGCCCCACACTTTGCAGAATACATTTGGACAAATGTATTGGGCAACAAGAAATCGGTTGTCTGTGCCGCATTCCCTGAACCAACAGGACCGGTGGAATATGCCATACTTGTTGCAAATCGTGTTATGACAGATGTGGTGAAGGAGATACGCTCTCAGGTGGCGAAAATGCAGAAGAAACGTGGTCCCGTGGACGAGGTGTTCATCTACACTGCGGCAAGCTACTCAGAATGGCAACTTAAAGCCCTACGACTGTTGCGTGAATTATACGAAGCGAATGGAAAGTCCTTCCCGGTGGACTTTTCAAAGAAGGTGATGTCGCATAAACAAGAGTGGATGACAAAAGAAATTCTTCCTGATGTCATGGCGTTCCTCTCCTTCACCAAGATGAATGTGGAGCGATGTGGTGAGGAGGCGCTCGCGGAGACGCCTGCCATCAACGATGCAGAGCTGCTGAAGGGCGTCCTTGCCAATATCTGCAAGTTGTCCGGTGTGCCGACCGTGCATATTCTCGGCCACGAGGACGAGAGGTACCCGGAGCACCAGGCGGCAAGGCGTAAGTGTCGCCCGGGTGAGCCCGCCATAGTGCTCCCAGCGAAGAAGAAGTGACTGTGTGACCAAATGCCACATTGAGGTGCGAGATTAATTTTAAAGTTAAGAAGACATAAGGATAAATGCAACAGGATGACAACAACAAAGAAAAAAAAAAAAGAAATAACACTCAAGGAGGGGACGCCTGTCGCCTTAATTTTGTGCGATTTAACTGAAGTAGAAGAAAAAAAAAATGCTTCTGTTTGAACAGAGGGGGGAAATAGGGAGATGAGATTACTCCATTCACCAGCAAGGGCACAAGGAAATATGGACACAAAGAGAAGGATAGAAAGAAAGCAACACCAATCACCATACATCTTTAATAACACTCATACAAAAAGAATGGGCTTTAGAACCATATAGGAAGAATGTGCGTCACGATGAGGATGAGCAGATGATAAAGTGCATTAATTAACTGCCCCGTTTCCTTGACGATTGTTGGATTATTGTTTTTGTAAGTGAGCGCGTGTGTTGAATTTGTGAGTGTGTGTTTTTATTATTATTATTATTATTATTATTATTATTTTTACTGCTTTTTCCGTCGCTGCCGCTTTTGACGCGGAGTTGTCCGGCGGATGTGAAGTCCTAAAAAAGACTGCCGCTTCCTCTGTTCACTACGAGTTCGGTTAGGACAAAATATGAGTTATGTGTGTTTTGTTTGTTTGTTTACTTGTGTGTGGGTGTTGGATCAATCTTTTCTGAAGTGTGGGGGATGTCGGGTGGTGCGGTGAGCCAAACTGCCACCTCTCATTGTGGTGTCCCGTTTCTGGGAATATGTAAAACGGCCTCATCCAGGCACGGAAAACTATTTTTTTTTTTTTGCGGTATTTTTCTGCATGTGGCCGATGATCATCTTTTGCGGTGACGTGTTTTATATGAAGAGGTGGGGCGTCACCTTTTCTTTTGGTGTGGGTTGGTTGGCCACTCTAATGTGCGCATATATACATATGTGGGTGTGTTGAGTGCGTGTATTGTCCTCTCTCTCTCTCTTTCCTTTTGTTGGGGATTTTGAGGTGGGGCATGTTTCTTTTTTTTTTTTTACTTTTTCTGGGTGGGGTGGTTCACCTGCTGCGTGATCTGTCTTGGCGTGGAGGGCTGCGGCGTGCTGTTGGGCCTTCCTCTTTTTCCAAAGAAAACATATATATATATATGCGCGTACAAGGTACAAGTGCGTATTCTGCGCCGTGGAAATGTCTATGAATGTATATAAGCGACAAGAGAAGCTGCGCCTCTACCGTGCTCTTCTTAAAGGGGCAAATCGGTTTCCATTACGTTCTCGGCGAGAAATAGTGACGGAGGAAGTTCGAGGTGCCTTTCGGCATCCTCTCAATGATTCACTAACGACGAAGGAGGTGGATTACAAGCTCCTTTTGGGGTGGGAACGGGCCGCCGCTATTCAGACCTACGCCGAGAACATGTACTGGTTCCATTCCCGAGATGAAGTTTCGAGGGAAATGATGCATCATTCCCTTGAACGGGATCGTCAGCGCATTAGGGAGATGGAGCGGTGTAATGCCGTGGGAAATGCGGAAATAAAAACGCCAGAGGTGACTGAATTCAAGTCATCGATGTACCATGTGCATCCGGACTATCACGGGAAGATTGGACAGATGCCGTTGACACACAGCCGTGACATTTGGAGAGCGCGTGGACAATATGGATCCGATGTTGGCGGTCCCCGACAGAAGTTTTATGTCCGTCGCTTCAAGGCCTTATTTCCACAGGGTTGGTGACTGTACCGACCTGTGCGTGTGTGTGGGTTTACTTTTTGTACGGCGGCTTTTTAATTTTTGTGTGCTGTCGAGCATGCAGTCAGTTGTTTGTGAAATTTGAGTTCTTCTTCCCTACTCGTGCGTCCACTGCTAGGGCGGTGGGGAATGGCAGCGGGATTTGGCCTGGGGAGGATCTTGGTTCGTCTTGTTTGTGACAAACAGGACGGTGGTGAGCTTCATGATGTGGAGGTGTTTGACGTCACCATGAAGCACATGACAGGTTGGTACGCCGTCGTCGGCTCCGCAGCTGTTGCCGTCGTGCCGCTGTTGTACACATCTTTGCGAGCGTTAGCATGGAGGCGCAGGGCATTGATTGTGCGGACGGCCCAGTCTTTCTTGCATATTTCCGCGGACGCCAAGGCCGTTGGTCAGAAGTCGACCTGTTCACCGTTTCTCTCGACTTCACGGACAGTTTTGGCCGCACGGCGTATTATCGACGCGGAGCGAGCCACAGATGTGGAATTCGCCAAAGTATTTTCCACGGAAGTGGTGCGTGCGTACGTGGATGTTGTTTTCCGGGGTCTTATGCGATCATACTGTCGGCACTGCATGTTTCACGTGTGTGTTTTTCTGGTGTGCACTGCAGTTGAGGCGCATGCTGGTGGTCGTCTGGCGAGCAGTGAGATTGCTGGTTGCTGTAGTGGTTCTACTGTTACTGGCGAAACGGCGGTTAGTCTGTCAGTTCCCAGCCTGTTTCGGCGGGTGTGGTTTCACCTGCGTCATGGGGCGCTGCTGCGGTTTGCTGCGGAGGGAGTGTCGACTCCATACGCGTTCTTCAGTTTTAGTGTTTCGACTCCTCGAATGCTCGAGCGGTGCTTTCCGTGGATTGGCGTTCTTCATGACGCCGCGTCTCGCTATCTCGGCCCGGGTGTTTACTTGGACAGTCGTTGGAGGTCCCCCGAAGTGGCAGACCGCGTTTGGCGTGCGATGACCCCAAAAGGCTTTGCCGCAATGTGGTGTTGTCGTTGTGTGACGGGTGTTCTTCAGACAAATTGCTTTAGAACAAGAAACGGGCCCGCGGAGTATTTATTTCAGGTATCTGGTAAGGAGCAGGCATCCTGTGAGGTCCACTATTTGGGGGAAGTAAATGCTGCGGATACCGAAGGGGAACGGGAGCACGAACCCTCCTGCATGATTTCTTGGCTGCGTCCTCTGACTCTCTTTGTGATGCGCACGGGCAAAACATCCATGGTGGTGTTTGCCGTGACATCATGTGCCTCGAGGACAAATTTGTCGTGGCTGCCATTTCCATGTGCCGGTGGCCCACAGTATGTGGCGTTGTGTTACACCGAGATGACGCTGATGTTATTGAGCTTATCGTTTTTTATCTTTTCTCCCCCGTTGAGCCTTGGATCACTCACTGCAGCAACGTCATGAACGTGATGCAGCCATGCTTTGAGCGGTTTGCTTATATAAAACCACCCTCTTTGTGTGCACCTGTCCCCTATATATATATATATATGTGCGTGTATCTGCATACAAGGAGAGAGGCAAGAGGAGTGGGAGGAGGTAAAGGAAGGGAGAGGGATTTCTGACGCGCATTGGCGTGCTGAATCTAACTTCTTGAGAATCCGAGGGGAGATGGGGACCGGGCCCAGGCGTGCGGTGCGGAGTTGGATGCATTTTTATGTGGCCGGGGAGGAGGCCGCGGGGGCGCCTAAATGAGGAAGAAGAAAAAAAAAGGAGGGAATTGGAGGTGTGGTGGCGTCGAAGGGGTTGCGGTGACTCCGGTGTCTGTGTTCCTGTGCGTGTTCCACATCATGCCCTTTTTTCTTTGACTCGCCTCTCAGCCAGGATGCAGCCACAGCACGGGAGTTGTGCACGTGGAACACACGTTTCCCGAGAAATATTTCAAGGCAGCACTTTTTCTCGACCATGAGTTTGGAGATATTGAGGCAACCGCACGGCTTGAAGACAGGCAGAAGCTTCTTTTCTACGCTCTGCGGCGGCAGGCCGAGCATGGTCCATGCACGGGCGCGGCACCATCCATATGGTGGACGCGTGAGCGCACGAATTACGATGCATGGAAGCAACTGGGCGACATGTCTAGATTTGAGGCGATGGTAAATTTGTGGGTTTGCTCGGGGAGTGTTTGGGGGTGAAGTCAACTGGATGGGGAAGCGCAGGGCTCTGGAGAACAGCATCTCCCATGCGGCGGACGGCGAATTCTTTACGGCACCGGACGGAATTGGCAGCACACATTCCCCAGGAGAGGAGCGCACGTGGGACGATGATGAGCGTGCCCACCTGGAGCCCACCGTGGAGACTGCAAGATATTTGGCATCGCAGGTCATGCGGTTGCGACGTGAGGCACATCAACCGCGATTGTCGACAGCTGAAAAACAAACGAGGGAAGGTGTTGCTGTGCGTCTGGCGCCACCACCCATCAAAGCGCCAACGGGCAACGCGGGCTCTCCTCAGAAGGCAGTGCCGGTGCCGCCAGGGAGACCAGTCGCAAGGAGGAGTGGTGGCGTTGGGAGGCCCTTGACTGCCTTTTCCCACCCCCCGGAGACGGTGAATGGGGTGGGCGGAATGGCTTGGACTCATTGAGCAAGCAAGAAGGGGAGGGGAGGAGAATGAAACGCTCCTTTTTGGAATGCATGGCCGCGATCGGGGCTTCGCTGTTTGCGTTTTTGTTTCAATTAATTTTGACGCTGCTCTGCTCCTTGTGCCCCGTTTGGGCAAATGTGCCTTTGGCCCGGACTGAGCGTGCTCTGAATGGTGCCCATGGGCTTTTTGGATGCACTCTTTTATGGTGTTCCCTCTCTTGTGTACCCCTCCCATGAGATTTCCATTCAGCCTCATTTG